ACCTGATGATGACAAAACCTTGTCGAAACGTTGTACATTTGCTGTTATGTTAAACTCACATTAAGGTTTTTCTTCATTACCCATTCAAGCCGTCTCCAGCCATTATTAGACTATTGGATAATTTCATCGTAAATGTGTTTATCTTAAATCTCTCCTCTCATAAATAAATTGTATTGTCTCTTTGAGACTTTATATCTCATAATAATAAATATTTTCCATCTTCTCTTAGAATACAAAAAAAAGCTTTTACGAAATATAATCAATAATTATTATCTTAGGACCTTTTGACACCTAACCAAGGAACTATATACAATACAGACTGGAACAACACTTTACAACAACTACTAAAACTTAATTCAAGTACATAGGAATCAAACGGGAATCTATACAGAAATGAAAACGTCACAATATTTACATGATAAAACAATAAATGGCCACTCAATTTTTTTCATGTAGTTGTCGGACCAATGACAAGGAGAGGTGATACTATATACTTTTATATTTTTTTAAAGTCGCTTAATGCAAAACGTTAAACCTTTATGATTTTAATTCAGGTGTTCCGTCAAAAAGTATCTTACCTTGTGACCTGATAATGAATTATGTAGTTTATTGTAAATAAATAAATACATGAAATCGTTATATATTTCGATATCGTTTTATATCCTTTACAGGTACGAACTTAAAGAGACGCAGTTTGCAGATTCAAAATCGTCTCACCTACTCATTAACAACCCTGATAGAAGTGATTCAGGGATGTTCAGCTGTTTAGCTTCAAATGCTTTTGGACACGATGAAACAAATTTGCAACTTATTGTGCAAGGTAAGTATAGGTTGTCTTTAGTTACACATTATGTACCTATTATGTTGAACAAGTATGAATTCGTAGATCCCTCCCCCATGTAAGAACACTAATAAACTTTTGTGAACAGTATTTATTCAACATAAAGAACTATAAAGAAGCATTTCTTAATAAAACGGTTGATTATTCATTAAAAAAAATCCTGTTAGACTGCAGAAGGTTTTTCTTCCATATTTTTATCATTTTTTCTTTATGTATTTGAAGTCAGAAGTGTGTAAAAATCGTTTCAGGTCTAGCTTTTGATTGCCTCAAGTCACTTCAAAGGAGAACTTTCCTTCAATATCAGAATTCGTTAGCTGAATTGAAATATGACAGTCAAAAGTCGACTGAAAAAAATATTTATAAAAACTAAAGTAATGACATCGAACGTTGAAAACTGGTGAAACATTGAAAATGAGTAGGCCTAATAATGATGATGAAAATCACGCTGCACTGCAGACTTTGTTTTCCACATTACTTTTAATTTCCTACTCTAACTGTAGAACTATTTTTGTTATATACGGAACGCCGACAATGGTTGCTATAGATCTGTTCATATTCTTTGTTGAACGATGACGACAGTGAAAAATATCTTGTTTATGTTCTATGTTGAACAATAGAAAAAGAACTGCTCATATCGTATGTTGTGTTATGACAGCAGTAACGAGAAGACTGCTGGCGTTGAATGTGAACAATAATAACTAAAAAGCAAGCTATTTTTTTATATTGAACGATAGTAAATGTTAATGAAGAACTGTTTATTTTCTATATGAGATGATCTGAGCATAGAATAAAGGATTGTTTCTTAACAACAAGTAAAATACTATTTCTGTGCTATACTGAACAATAATAACAGTGAATAAACGATATATTTCAACAGTAAATTAGATAACTCTTTTTCAATAGTAATTAAAAAACTGATTGTTATTTTACTGAATGATTTTGTCGGATGTTGAAAGCCTGTTTGTATTCTACATTGAGCTATGACAACAGTAATGTAGCGATATGATATATTTATTCTGATTCTATACTAAGTAAAAAATGCAATTAGAATTTAATGATAATAACAATGATAAGTTCAACAATCATTGTATAATTTAACATGACTAGCATTAAATATCCACACTCCAGTTCAAAGCCCTTACCTCCCTCATGTTTCACAAAGGCTGTTACGTAATTCTGAAGTTATCTCCATGGGCTCTTATCCGAAAATTTAGCCCGTTAGAATACTCGCCTTGAGAACTTTGCCACGTTTAATCCCTAAAGCTTTTGAGTGGGATACAAAACTTAATCTGATATCAGGTTCGGATTCAGCGACCGTGCAAACCTGCCCCTAGACCACTCTTTCATGCCTGAGAAACTTTTGGGCGCGTTTTAGCCCTCCTTGATAGGGAAGGGCTACACCATGCACATAACGACACTTCTTAAGTCACTCCAATTCTGGCTGCCGAGATCAATCCTGCAATCTCCACACTGTGGGAAGAATTTTGAGACAAACAAATTCACAAACATACAAAATAAATTAATTCATATAATATTCTTCACTTAGTTACCATAGCAATTTTAAAACTAGCCACTTTATTAGGACATCACTTGATATAGAGTTGTACCACTTTTCTCCACGAAAATAATCTTAGTGATAAAAGTTGTCTTGTTCGATTGTTGTCGAGTCTTCCAGAAGTATGCCTGCAATTGGCACACAAACGTTGGCAAAGAATTACAGTAGTAAGTGCGAATTTTCAATTCTTTTGAAAAATTCGCAATCGTATTAAGCTCCAATATTTGTGCTGACTAAATAAGATGACTTACTCATGTTCATACTTTTCAAATCATCTTCATTTAACACGGAATGGTGGATTATTTAATTATAATCTTGGAAGAGTCTTTACCCATTAGGAAGAAAATATAACATCGATGGTTATACTTGTTCTGCAACAATACTCAGGCACACTCTGGCTGGCATTTACCCTTCTTAAGGATTTAAAAGGACTCAACTCCTCTCACTAGGCCCCTCTTACATACACACACCATTACGTTCATCGCCGGCAGTTTCTGAACAACTCAAGCATTATTAAGTGGCTGTGGATTTTCCTCACATTTTCACCCAACCATCAGTATAGTAAAGAGTGGAATGTAACACATTACACCAATCACACGCTTCAGCTGATTCATTCTCCACAGTTTGCGCTTTAAACACAACTGAAGCGGTGCGTTTTTGTTTGTTTGTTCCATGAGAGAAAACCAGTTTTCAGACTGACTGTCAGCTGTCACATAACACTATAATGTCCAATGTATTATATCTTAAAATAGTCAAATCCTGCACTTTACAATCCTGCTTATTATTCTTTTTTTCCTACGTCCAGCCACGTGTGATTGGCGACTACATATTTTTTCTAGTAACATACATACTTCTTGATTTCCAGTAGAAATAGATTCTAATAATATATGCATTTGATTATTTTGCAGACTATCCACGACAATACAGCATCATTGCTTTTATGAGGATTAAACAATCACCCGACATATCAATCACGTTATAGTATTCTTTAGATATATGGTAGCCAGTCGGTGTAGCATCATACGAATGTATTCGATAATCATGCGCAACTCTAACAAAAATAGAGACTTACAATTTGAATGAGCACACAGCAAGAGTGAAACAATTGGAATGAGTTGAAAAAGGTTAAGAAAAATGTTGAATTCTACTTTACATTCTTTTTAATAAATGTACATAGGCAAACAGAATTTAACTGATAATATTTAGTGTTCACAATGGATATAAGACACTGAGTATTTTTTCTCAGAATTCCAAATCAATATTGAAATGTGATCTAGTAATTTTTGAGCAATAAATATACTGAAACATAGAAACATTTTAATTATAAGTTCCTGGCATATTTGAAAAAAATGTTTAACGCTTAGCGAATTATAGAGCTAGAACGCATACATATCAAAGAACAAATATATCTCGAGTCTAGAAAAATACTTATAATTTGAAAAATGTAAACACTATACATATTTCACAATAGTTAGCTTGCCTAAAGAAGCTTTAATCCTTTGCTGGGTTAAGATAATCCATTCTCTAACCTTTAAATTTAATACACTTAATTATCGTAGTGTGTTTTCTTTTTCATTCCAAAAGTAGTTTGGGGAATATCTCTCAATGTAATTGTTCTGCATTAATAAACCTGAGTTACCTGAATTTCGCGCAAAGCTACACAAGGGATATCTGCGCTGGCCGTCCCTGATTTAGTAGTGAAAGACTAGAGGCAACGCAACTAGTTATCACCACCCACCGCTAATTCTTGGGCTACTCTTTTACCAACGAATAATGGAATTGACCGTCACATTATAACGCCCCTCGGCTGAAAGGATGAGCATGTTTGATGGGACGGGGATTCGAACATGCGACCCTCAGATTATGAGTCAAGCGTCCTAACCACTTGGCCATTCCGGGCCTTTGATTTACTTAGTTGATTGTGATGATTTGTGTGTTTACCTTTTCTTTATTATAAGGAAACCTTGACGGAACTCAATTTCATTTTAATATAAATATTTTAGTATGAGGCACAAAACAAATTTGGTGAAATTATATTCCTAAGTCCATTGTACGAGCAGATGAAAAAATTGCTCTAATGCATATGTTCCTCACATTGGCTAATGAGTCAGGACTTTCGGTTTTTTTTCTAAATTTGATAAGTTGTTTTCTTCTAGAAATCTACTTTTCTTACTCTAGCCTCTTTTTTATGATTATGTTTCATCTATTTTTCAGCAATACATATTTAGGATACTATGTAAACAGATTTTTTTTGCTTTAAGATGAATTGTGATTTTTATTAAAATGATAAAAATTATGTGATGACAAGGGAACTTAGATTTCAGTGCCGTAAAATATAAGAATTTGCATCAACATTGTACGTTTTCCTGGGTCTGCATATTCAATTTCTGTCCGGAATATTGTGTTTTTAGACTTCCATTCAAGTATCTAGTTTTTCTTTTTAGTTGTGATAAGAAATCCAATTAAATTGTCTTTTTTAACTTTTTTTTAAATCACCCAAATCCAATTTAATGAACAGAGGTTTTTAAGAAACTTCAAGCAACTAAATAAGATTAAAAATGGCAGTAAAGTAGTGACCAAATATATTATAAAATTAATAAAGTGTGTAAGTACTAATTGACACAAGAGACTCAAGACAAAGTATTTTTAAGTAAAATTTAATTGTTTAATTGTGTGAAGCTCTTTTGTTTTACTTCACTTTGTTCAGTTACTCACCATCATGTCACCTAGTGGTTAGCATGGCGAATTATAAATCCGATTATCCACGGTTTGCGTCCCGTTGCTGAAACATATTGCAACGTTCTCAATTTGGAGTCTTGAGTGTACTATAAGAATGACGATCAAATCCCATTAACTTATTATAGTTTGTAGTAGGTGCTACTGGCTAGTCTAGTATATCAGTTCAAAATTAGGGGCGACTAGCGACTATTCCGATCTTTTTGATAAACGGAAAGTCTTATTCATTGTGTATTTAGCTATATTGGCTAGGTGGTTAAAGCGCTTGACTCCCGATCTGAGGGTCGTGGATTCGACTCCGGCTCACCAAACTGATCCTCCATGCTTAGAAAGAAAACATTACGTACAATTTACTCATCTTTGCTTTCGTACTTTTGTTTTTAAAAACCTTTCAAGATTCAAGTTTGTTAGTTATGTTTATAAAAAAGTATCATATATACTACCATTTCATTATTTCCGTTTACACATGTATTTATATGAAATGACTCTTTTAAATCAGTCCAGGACATCAACAATACATCAGAAAAACTGAAAAAATGTTAAATGTTCCAGGACTTCTCAAGCATTTTATTTGTATTGAAATATATTTAAAATGAGGACAAATAGATTTTATGGAAAAATTAATGTTCTTTTAAATATTTTTAAAGTATAATTTCTTCGAAAAACAAGACAAAACTTGGAAGCAATTTAATATATACATAATAGTATTTTTCTACGTGAAAAAAATTGCATTTTTTTATAACTTTACGCAGTTTTTCCACTTAGATACTGACGCACCAGGACAATACTCCCCAGTCATCAGTAATTCCCGTCTTCATGTTTATGATAATGGAACCCTTATTATCTACAAGTCACAGAAGAATGATGCAGGGTTCTATTTATGCGAAGCAAACAATGGTGTGACACCTTCGGTTAGCAAGGTTATCCGATTAGATGTCAATGGTCAGTATTGAAAACAGCAGTCTAACTGTAAAATTTTTCAATTATTATTAGTAATTCAACAACATTTGTCAGTGTTTGGTAATTTATTTTGAACTGGTTAGAAAGTATATACTTATCCCATAGCGTAATTACAGCTTACAGCTATATATATTCAGTAAAATTTGCTTTGACGTCATAACTATAAAATTCAGTGTCATTACATTGTTTTAATGTGCTAATGAACTTCGGGAATATTTTTATGGCGCAAAATATATTAGGGCAGTTTAATAGTTAAGTTAACAAAAAAAAGATAACTTCTAAATTGTTAACTCGTACACAATAGTATAACAAAATTGTGACAGAATGTGGCGATAACTAAACACTGTGTCTTTAATTAAAATATTTTCGGAGGAGCAAAATGTTGTGTAGATCAATAAGTAAAATCTCACTCTTCTCACATTCCAAGTTAGTTATGGTTTATATCTTTTATATTATATATTATATATCTTTCGCATTAAAAAAAATCATGAGTTTCATGATAAACATCAGTAAAATGTTTATTTTTCATTTTAGAGCCTCCAGCTTTCAAATCCCGTTTCCAAGTGGAAACTGCCCGAAAAGGTCTTCGGGCAAGGTTAGGATGTGAGGCGAAAGGAGACAACCCTATGACAATTTTGTGGCTTAAAGATAAACAACGGCTAGATATTAGAGAATTGGAAAGGTCTGTAAATAAGAATAAATTATGTGGCAATCATCTGAAATTAAATTAAGATGTTATTTTGAAATCGATAGTACTATGGGAAGACATACAATTTTATTTTCTAATACTATTTTGTTGGTAGGTGGAAAGATTTAAGAATGTACTGTTTGTGTTGTTCGTGTAGGTTTAACTTTCTAAATGTACAACATTTGCTAGCTACTGGTTTATTGGTGAACTCCGGACAAATATAGTTTTATCTATGAACAGTTTATCTTAATGACGCCACCGCTGCAGAAGATGAAATATACAATACGTGTCTTACCAATGTTTGGGAATTTTTAATCATTTGTAATTGAATGTTTTGGACAAAAAGTAGCCATTATCGCATCTTCTTACATTTTATGCTTGCGATTACATAATTTCAGAATGATATTTATCTTAACGTATTCTCATAACAATTATACACTGATGTTCCACTTTATAAGAATTTCCATATATTTTTACACGAGATCACTGTTTTTACGCACCATTATCCCAAGGTTTGCATTTACAGACTTCATAAGATTCTGAAAAGTGTTTTCTTTGATTGTCTCCCTTCAGTCTGGTGGAAACAGACTGTGATAGCACATGTTTTTAAGCAGCTTGTCAAAGAAATGTTCTCTGTTAACGACGCTCCTACAAAATAGACTTTTACTATTAAGCCCATTTGATATTCAACAAGATTTCTACTCATACCCATACCTTCTCTGTTCTTGAACAGCCATTATTCAAATACTCTCGAATTGAATCCTCATAAATCTGCCAATATGACATAAATCAGGTAAATCCTGAATACATACAGGGAGAAAATAAAAGAGATAGAAAAAAAAAGAAAACACCAAGCCACCACAAAACAGAATAGTGGACCAATGCTCACTTGATGGGTTACAGGATTAAAATAATTCCGCAAATTACGTTTTGGTATTCCAAAGAAAAAAGAGCTATGTACAGGTAAGTATAGCTGCATTCAAGAAAAAGGTTTAAGAGTGTCTTACTTTTCTTAATCAAGTTTTGTTAGCATCCAATTACTATATGTACACACACGGACCTTTACTAAAGATGATAATGTTTTGAGATCTAGAAGAAATTGTCAGCATTGTGAGAGCGACATCAGCCAGTTTCATTTATTTGATATTCTAAAGATTCCTGCTACTGAAGAAACATGCCGTACACAATATAATTACCCTTGCTGGCTAAATATAGACCAGCATTTTATTCCTAGATCACTGTATCAAGATCCGGTTTTATCGCAAAAACATTTACATTTCTATCATAGAACATCATTAGAATCTATCTTTGATGAAATAATATACCACGTTTCAAGTTACATGCTTCTTGTAAAATAAAATGCTGCAATTGATATATATATATAAAGAATACATCAAGAAATGATTAACAATGGAGATCTTGTAATAACATATGAAACATTAATTAGTAGAACATTAACACTAAAGTTTACGAAGCACATAATAGAATAATTGATTATTATACAATAACATATAGCATTCAAAATGTGGGCTAGAACACAATCATTTAATGACACCGGAAGTAAGTGTATTATAATTGCTCATTACCTTTGACTGTAGGAAGATTCTACCTAAGGATAACTGAATTATCTGGCGTCCTAGATTCAACGGTGTTATAGCATTTCCCCATATCATCTGTTGGTAGGCTCTTTGAATTAGATGCAAATTAAACTGATTTCTGTTGAAGGTAGGTTTTTCCATGTTAGTTTTCTTGTTTGCTTTTTACATCTGAGTGCATTCGGTAAAATACAGCCTGCCCTTCCATACGCAACTTACATAAATTTCATGACAAGTATGTTATCATTCTTTGACACAGAAAACAATGTCATCCCTACTATCTTGTTTGCATTGGTTTTGAAGGATTGATATTAGCCATCCCTACATTTACTTCCTTTTTTGAAAAGTTTTCTATTTGCTTGTTTTTTTAATGAGGTGTTTCAATAGACATGGAAAGGTTGTATTTATAACCAGGTTGTAAATGCAATGAGGTTCCAACTGTAATATTTATTGTTTATCTAAAATGGAAACAAATATTTGTAAAAAAGCTAACTTCAAGGAGTAATGATAACATCGTTTACACTAGAGTTGTGATTCTTTTAATTATTCCTAGTTATTAATAATACTTATAAAATCGGAT